AAAATTCTACATCCGGCTACAGAAAATCAGAAATTTTTCTGTGTAACTTACTGTAGACACAATCACATAGTAAAATTTTTCTCTGATTCGTCCTGTTTTGATCTCCTGGACTAACTTCACTGTTTCATAAACCGGGCTTTCCCATGTGCAGATTCCTTCGACAATCGGCACTTTCGCTAGCCTGACTGTCGGTTTTCCTACATCTACCGGGACTAGAGATATCATCAGCTTTTTCGCTTTCAGCTGAGGCACCTGAAAATTTTTCGAAGGAAACGAAATCAGATCACCAGTAAGATTTTCTAACATTTTAAGCTAAAAACAGAACTGCATTTTTCTGGTCCTTGTAGTTTTTGATACACATAATATAAAACAAATGCTTTCTAAGTTTAGTTATGATAGTTAATTAGTTGAGACAATTTATTTTTATTTTTTTTATTTTTTTTTCTCTCCCACATTGTTAACTCAACCTCAACATACCTGTGTTGCCTGAAATTGCATCTTGAAGACTGCTTTGATCTTTTTCTCACTTCTCTTGAACATCTTATCTGGATATTACACATGAAAGAACCTTAGAGGCCTTTGTTTTAATTTTTTTTTTTCTTTTCTTAATTGGTCTGAAACTAGAAAGTAAGGTTTAAGAGGTGAGCTCTTTTTCTGTTGCCTTAGCTGTAAGTGAACAAGTCTAGTCTGATGAATACCCAGACCAAAATAATTAGAAACAATTTTAAATAATAATTATATTAGCTGCAAATAGGTTGGTGCAAGGTTACAAAAAGCTTTCTGATTTTGACTTTTGATTTGGATTTGTGGACGATGTGTGTTTGCTTGACTAGACATGTGGCACCATTTAAGAAGCCGTGATTGCAGCATTTTTATATTACTATCCATACTGTGAGGGATTAGATTCCTTGATTTAACTATCCAAATAACCAAAAGATAAGTATGCCTCAGTTTCAGTAGTGGTAGCCATGAATAAAGCTCTACTGATTCAGTCATGACCAGTAATCCTTAAACTTTTTATGGGTGAGGTTTTTACTTTATATATTTTTATTTACTTATTATGCTGCATAATTTGTACCAGATCTGATGAAAATGAATTCATTTTGAATTTTTTAAGACTTTTTGAGATTTTTTAAAAATATTGGTAATTTAACTTTAATTTTTTTTTTATAATTTTTAAATTTCTTGAGATATAAATTTGAGATTTTATAACGTCTTTAAAAATTCATGAGGTATTCGAACACTGTGATTTGTTTGGAATTTTTAATACTTATTGAGATTTCAAATATAAAGAAAAAGATTTCCAAGAATTCCAACTAAAATAAAAATTTAGAAAGTTCGTAGTTTTAAAAAGTTTTAAAATGTCGTTCAAAGTTACGCATTAATGCAGCTTTTGAGATTTCAGCTGATTAGAATATACTTCCTATGTTTTTATATACGAACTGCACATTTTGAGGCAGTAATTTGCATGCCCAATTGAACTTCAAGAACTATTATGCTTTAGTTATCTGTTATCTTGAATTACATGAGCAAAATTTCAAGGCTGCTCTTTTTAAAATATGTCGGTTCTAATTTTTGAGATAAATATTTATTTATATCTGGGACTGGAAAGTCCATATGCAGCTGTAGGTTTAATTTTATGCTGCGTTATGTGGGGCATTTATACCAGCCTTGTCACTTTAGAAAGTATAGTACTCTTTTTATGATTCCTTTCTTTGGTCTTGAATGGCTGATGCCCTTTTCTTTTGTTTTTCTTCTCTTTCCCTAGAGCTATATTTCTCAATATACTTTTTTGATACACGTATTGTGATCAAGCTAATTGTTAATGGGGTAGACTTGTCATAACTTTTTAATAAAAATGCATATTTATTTTAGAAAAATGCTATAAGTACATAATATTGTAAATAGGGATGTACATAACACTCACATTACGTGAGTCCTGCCAAAAATAAAAAATCAAGTGGACCCCACTCCATGTGAGTGTTATGTATACCTTTATGTAGGGCTATTATTTGAACCGGCGTTCGCGAACAAAGCTCGTTCGAGTTCTTCGTGTTCGATAACAGCTCGTTTGTTAAGCATTTGAACTGAACACGAACATAAAATTACGTTCATTTAGTTATCGAACGAACACGAACATGTTTGAAAATTAGTCGAACTCGAGCTCGAAAACCTTAAGCTCGGTTCGGTTCGGTTCGATAACCCTACCTCTATGTACATTTATTATGTACTTGTAGTATTTTTCTTTATTTTATCTGCTGAGATTCTATTGATTGAATCAAAATACATAGTTATAACTTTTTTTTTTTATTTTTTTTTTTATTTTATGCTTAAGTAATACATCACATATTAGTTTTCTATTTCATGCATCCACTATTAAGCTTTGAATTCATTCACTTGGCATGTAGATTGTGGGTAGGCTTGTAAATTAATAAGTCGAGTCGAGCTTGAGCTCTAGTCCTTAACGAGCCAAGCCATCAAGTAAAAGAACCAGAAGTCGAGTTTGAGCTCGAGCTGTTAAGGCTATGTTTTGTAATCGAATAAGTTTTATTTGGTAGGAAAAGTTCGAGCTTATCTCATAAGTTTCTCTGAGTACCTTTTCAAATAAACTCGTTGAAATTTTTATTTCAGCTAGCTTATCAGTCAATTTTACCAAATACTTTTATCATATAAGCTACTTTTTCAACTATAAGTCATAAGTTATAAGCTATAAGCTTGAAAATCACTTATCAGTTAGTTTTACCAAACATAGCTTAAGTAAACAAGCTAGAAATCAAGCTCGACTTCGATTCGTTTATTAATATTAACGAGCCGATCTCGAGCTTTTACGAACCCATCTATAGAAAATTATATAAAAGTTTTATTTTCGAGCCTTATCGAGCCGAGCTGTTAACGGATCGACCTTTAAGCGAGCTCGGCTCGTTTGAGGCGAACTCGAGTCGAGCTCACGAGCTACTCGTTCTCTTTAACAACTCTAATTGTGGGTAAATTGCAATTTATCTGTGTGACATGATAGATGGATACATTGCAATCCCCTCAATAAATTGAATAGCATTTTGTACCTTATCAAGCTTGTTATGCTGGCAATAATAAGTGATGAAACAAGAACTCGGGACGTTGATACAATTAATTTGATAAGCAACTTGTGGGTCATCTGCACTTAATTATCTGTTGCATAGCAATATTATTGTATGTCCCATAATTCTTCCTGAATGCCTGCAAAAGTGATCTGGAATTAAAGCATTTGCATGTGAAATCATGTGCTCTCTCTACAGTGTTTGGAATATCTTTCTTTTTTTCCATATATTTTTATTTAAGCTGTTTTTTATTATTATTATTATTATTATTGAGAAAGATGTTCAGACAAGAGCAATCATTTATGATACTTATACTTTTGATTCTTATAAGTTGGTTCTCATTCTCAACTCTCAAGCAAACATTTTTCAACTGTAACCTACCTTTTCATTGCAAAGGATCATTCCCCGTGCAAAAGAAAGCCACAAGCCTCTATAATAGTCCAAATTGTAAAAGCAGATATTGAAAACAAATGCCCATTGGTTGATTTCAGGTTTTCCTTCAATCCACAAACAATAAAGATGAAAACCAAGTAAAGAGCGACTTTAGGGCTCGTATATATATATATATATATTCATATGATACTCATGAGTTGACTTCTCTTCCAATTAATCATTATCCCCCTCTATACATAATGCAGAATTTCGAAGTCATTTATGATCCTTCATAATCATTTGTCTATTTTTATTACAAATAGATTGAATTTCTATCATGAAATATGATGATTCATAATTATATTTGTCGATTTCTGTAGTACAAATAGTTTGGATTTCTATCATGAAATCATAACATACTTGACTAGCGCAAATCATAAATGTACTTTATAAATTTCTTTTCATGATACTAGTATATAATCTGTGCGATGCGCGAGTTGTATTTGTTTTGGTAAAATTTATAAATTGAAGACTATTAATCAATATATTGTAATACGTAGAGCATTTATCAAGTAATCATAAAATTTTCGTCATTAAAAAGTCATATATTATTAAAAATATTTTTTTTCCATGCAAAATCATTTTACACTTGGGGGCGATTGGAGATAGTTTCTAAGTAAAAAAAATCAATCAAAATTCAAATTTAACTCAATTTTATCTAATTCCACTATCTTCAATATTATCAATATAATTAAATAATATCAACTAATTATTCTTACACATCACATTAACTTTAATTGACCTTAATTAAATATAATTACTAATTAAAAGTACCGTAATTGTGATGAAAAAATTATGTTCTCGAACAATTGATATTATTTTCATAAGCAAGTGTAAAGGGGGTAATTTTCTCATTCTTCTGTGTTGATATTTAACTGTCTCAGTAATAGAGTGGTCCAATAAAATAGGGCCCATTTAGACGAGCTTACGTCACGGATTAGCTGGCTTCTCCAGTCTGTTCTATTTTTGTCGCCTGTCCTTTTTGCTAATTGCAAATGGCTAATTCGAAGTTCTTACGTATCTCCGTATTAGTTGCAGTTTATTGTCTATATTCATCCTATCCTTAATTCCGGTATGTCAGTGGTTATTAAATTTTCCAACTAAAAAAAAAAAAAAATAGCTTGCCAAATAATACAACCTGATCTACAACACTTTTGGAACTATTTGATTAATACAGTATATGATATATGTTTTTGATGCTAGGTTGTCTAACCATTATACAAATAATTTGAATTGTGTTACATTTTGCTAATATATAATCACGTTGTAGTGTATAAAATGCATGCTTATCTTGTAAAATGTCTTCTTTTTTGTTGTTAGATTATATACTCGTTAAACAATCTTATTTTATTATAGGACATGTATATTTATACTATAATTTTTTTATATTTTTTATTGTATTTCACAAAATAACTTCAGATTATAAGTGTGTATTTGTTGAAAGAGTTTAGATGACTAGCTAGACAATCAACAATGTGATAATACTACTTTAACATTATTTTTTTAACATCTATATCTATAGATATTGAAAGAGGTTGATGTAATAATCTAAAATAGTAATTTTGACTTTGTAATTAAATAGACTGACTTACTATCGAAGGAACTATAACAAAAATTACTTTAATATTTTATAAGAAAAATAAAAAATAAATTATACCTACCAGTTGTAAATCGTGCAATTCAATTAATAACACAACTTTCTATATAAATAAAGTGGTATAAAATTCCAAAATTATTTTTTGATAATAATCGTAATAAAAATTTCATTCTTCATATTAATTACGAATCATTATAATTTTTTATTCATTTGATATCTAATCATACAACATGTCTTAAAAAAATGTCTATTAAATATATATTTTTTAGAAAATATTATTTAAATATATACAATAAAAAAAACAAATATAATTCCAATTAAAAATTTGAAAAATAATTATGAAAATTCTATTATGATATTTATCAGAATGTTACAATAGTATTTTATTTATTGACATTAATAAAAAATTACAGTAATTTCTTATTCATTTGATAATCAACTATATACTAATTTTTTTTTAATCGTCTCTTCAAAAAACCATCATAAAACAAGCGAGCCCACCAAACAGCTACAAAGAACAGGGCACACAATAGGACACGAGTGCCATTTGAACCTGAAACACGTGGTCTCGTGATAACCCTATCCTCGATCAACACGTGTCCACCTGCGAATAATCCGAGGATTATCTCATCTGACGGCTCAGAAACCGTCAAAACTAAGACTGGTAAGTATAGGCTCAGGAAAACTCGTGTAAAGCCACAGTTGGAAAAGATAAGAAAGACTACAACTTTTTCCAATATCTGGAAAGCCATCGTAGTATCTTGCCCCGATTGATACCCAGAGTAGAAGAAAATAGAGACCCAAAAAAGAAAAGGAAATTAAAAAAAAGGAAATAAAGATGGCTTTAGGTGTTAAGGCCTTGCATATTTCTTTTGTTGCTCATTTTCTGGGGATTGTGGGCGCCGTATTGGTGTTAATTTGGTGTATCAGCTTCAGGGGCGGCTTGGCCTGGGAAGATACGAACAAGTCTCTCATATTTAATGTAAAAAAGACCCTTCTTTTTTCTTTCTTTGTCTGAATTCTTTTGTTCTAATATCTTTTGTTTTACCTTAATTGTTTTGCTTGATTGCTTGTGATTTATTTTGTTTGGGGGATGGAAATTTTCAGTTCTGTTTGGTTTCTGGTTCTTTATAAGGCTCCCTGCTGATTTTTATGTGTTCACTCGCATTAGTTATTGATCAAATTTGTTAATTGCGTGTATTCGAGTCACGATTGAGTAATGGTTATGCTGCAGTTTGGTAAAGGTCTGTTTTCACATTTTACACTAACTGTAGTCTACACATTAGGAAATTTGTTAGTTTGTTGTTTGCAGTTATAGTTTACTGTCTTAAATCGGTTCAATAAGCTGCATTTACTAGTATTTGGTGCTTTTGACTTGAATTTGTATTTGGTGCTTCTGACTTCAATACGCTGCAGTTTGGTAAAGGTGTTCACAATTCCCACTGATTGAAGTCTAGACATTAAGAAATTTGTTAGCTGGTGTTATACTTTACTGTTCCTGGCTCGGTAAACTCACTTTAATTGGTTCAATAAGCTGCATTTGCTAGTATTTGGTGCTTTTGACTTCAATATGCCGCAGTTTGGTAAAGGTTTTCACATTTTCCACTGATTCAAGTTTAGACATTAGGAGATTTGTTAGTTGTTGTTATAGTTTAATGTTCTAGGGTCTGTGAACTCTCATAAATCGGTTCAATACGCTGCATTTGCTAGTATTTGGTGATCTTGACTTGAATTAGTTAATTCCTAAGCGAACGCGCAGTTAGAGTGGAGCCCTTTTGGTTGTAAAAGCTACGCGCAGTTATCTGGTTCATATTTTTTCGGATACTCATTGTGTCTTTTGTTTGAGGAAAGACAAATTATTATGAATTTTGATGGGACACCAGCCTCACAAGACTTCTTTGATTGCTTCTGTAAATTTGGTTTGTGAATCTCATTTGTGTTCATTATTTTCTCCTTCAGCTTCACCCTGTATTGATGCTGATAGGGTTTATCATAATTGGAGGTCAAGGTAAAGTGGTTTTTTCTGTTTTGTAGAATTTTCAATCACCGATTTCATTGAAATTCTTAAAACCTTCGCATTTTTTTTTTCTTCTCTTGTGTTTCTAATTTCAGCCATCATGAGTTACAAATCCCTACCACTAAAGAAGCCAGAGAAGAAACTCGTACATCTTGTGTTGCATGCTATTGCTCTTATACTTGGCATAATCGGGATATACATGGCCTTCAAGTTTCATAATGAGAGCAACATTGCCAATTTGTACAGTCTGCACTCTTGGCTCGGTATTGGTGTCATTGTCCTCTATGGCATTCAGGTTATTTGCTCAACTTATTAATTTCAAAACTCTTGCTTGACAATGCATATTATTTTACATATCAGTTTTACTGTTAGATTCATTATATTATATTGTACACCAAAGTTCTTTATTTGAGTCTGGCATTAACTATTAAGCACTAACCATTATGTACCTTCCCCTTTCCCAATTGCCAAATAGTACTTCATTTTTTCTTTCGGCCCAATCGCATATAGCTATTATGTTAAAATAAATATTTGGTAATTTTTGAAAAGTTTCCCTTGAGATTTC